TAGAAAAAATAGCACATCATAAAATATATCATATTTTTTCTATTGTCAAAAAATTTCAATCTATGGATAATTAGGGAAAAAAGTTACCCCCGTGTATTTTCGAAAAATCGAATTATTTTTTAGAAATTCAGGTTAAAAACGGGGTTGTCTCTGTAGAAACCTCTAATCGTAGGTTTTCATTGAAAAATAATTGCAGAATATGAGAAGAGAATATGATTTTTTGGTTAAATATTCCATGTATCAAGATGGTGTAAATTATTGCAAATTATGTTCCTCTTTGATAGTTATGCATTTTAGCGTATATGGGAGGCAAATTGGTATAAATTTGAAATAATAAAAAAGTAAAAGCCATGTTATCGCTCATGCGCAAACAGCTGGAAAATTTAATTTCAAAGTGCACTTTAACTCCCCGTCAAAGAAAGAATTTGAACTTTTATTGTATAATTATTTTCGTTACAAAGTATATTTGCAAATTACATACCTATTTAAATTTGCAAGGTTGCAACTACCAAGGTATTTCTTTCTTAATCATTAATTAAATTTTCATAACGTTCAGCGCTATCTACCAAAATGAAATTATCATTAATTTATGGGTTAGAATTTTGTACCTACTTATTATTTACATTATTATTGTAATTAGAAATACAGATAGATTTCCATATTTTCATTGGTTCAATTTATTTTGTGTCAGTAGCAATATTTAAATGGAAAGTATAGGTACTCTAGTTAAAAAGTAATGTTTCTCAAAATAAATATGTTAAGAAAACATAGAGTTAAGCGTTTGTTTACATTATTTATAAAGATGCAAACAATATGTTTCTTTAGCCTATATTATCTACTACTATAAAAATAACTAAAGTACTTCCTATTCATAAAAAAGGAGATATTAATAAACTTGACAACTATAGACCAATATCCATTGTTCCTGTAATTTCTAAAATATTTGAAATATTAATTAAAGAAAAATTGATCTCATATCTTGAAACTAAANTGTAAAATAAGACCGTTGTGTTCTAGAATGTCCAGTCATAGTAAGCCAAGCATAAAGTATACTTTTGGTTTCATAACACTTTCAGTTTCAGGATGACCGCAGGTACCATTGACTTGAATAGTCATTCATTTGAAACACGTTTAGTCTAAAAAACAATTAACTATGCTGCTTTAAATAAATTTAAACACACCCTGCTTCTTTCGATAATTAAGTATTAATAAACATGGAATTTTTCAATTCAGTTTTAAACTGAGATTTGAGAAACTTTTTCCAAAAATGGTATATTTTCTGTGTGAAAATAGAAATTAGATATCGTAGTGAAACTTCGTGTACATTTTATAATTAGGTAAAACTATTTGAAAATTTTGAAGCATTTGAAATACAATATTGTCTGTGGATATTTCTAGGATAGATAGAAAAAATAGCACATCATAAAATATATCATATTTTTTCTATTGTCTAAAAATTTCAATCTATGGATAATTAGGGAAAAAAGTTACCCCCGTGTATTTTCGAAAAATCGAATTATTTTTTAGAAATTCAGGTTAAAAACGGGGTTGTCTCTGTAGAATCGTAGGTTTTCATTTAAAAATAATTGCAGAATGTGAGAAGTGAATATGATTTTTTGGTTAAATATCCCATGTATCAAGGTGGTGTAAATATAGCAAATTATGTTCCTCTTTGATAGTTATGCATTTTAGCGTATATGGGAGGCAGATAGGTATACATTTGAAATAATAAAAAAAGTAAAAGCCATTTTATCGTTCATGCGTAAACAGCTGGAAAATGTATTCTCAAAGTGCACTTTAACTCCCTGTCAAAGAAAGAATGTGAACTTTTATTATATAATTATTTTCGTTACGAAGTATATCTGCAAATTATATACCTATTTAAATTTGCAAGGTTGCAACTACCAAGGTATTTCTTTCTTAATCATTAATTAAATTTTCATAACGTTCAGCGTTATCTACCAAAATGAAATTATAGAGTTAAGCATTTGTTTACATTATTTATAAAGATGCAAACAATATGTTTCTTTAGCCATTTCGGGTTTAATTCCAATTATTTACGAACTATATTATCATCTTACATTTTGTCACGGCAATGAAAAAATTCGAGATTCATGTCACATTGATAAAGTTGCGCAAATGCGTTTTACCGAATAATAGTATACCGCCCCCTCTCACTCATATCTTTCTGAATTCCGGGCTAATTCTTGCGATTAGAGTAAGAGATAGAGATGGCATTGTTGTGGTTCTATAATAAATAATTTAATTAACAACAAACTATACATTTAGGCAACAGAATTTTTCACAAAAAAAACAGACTTTCTCTGAATTGAATTTGTTAAGAAAAAAGAATTTGTGTACTTGACAACAAAAATAAAATACAATAGGAACTTCACTTGTCCCATAATTTTCACGTTGTTATTGTAATTAGTAAGAAAATATACCCTAAAGTTACAACTTCGCATTATTTAAAAAAAATAGAAGATAGAGACCATTCCTTCTCTTATGGTGATTAGTTGAACTACATCAGTGTTATTATTAATCACTTTTCGGGTGTCTGTGGCCTTATGTTTGTTACTTAAATTTTAAGAAAAAAGATGAAAATGTGACTAGTAGTAGTAGTAGTAGTATTTACTCGATACTTGAAATATATGAAAGTTCTCTGAAAAAAATTGAACTGAAAATTGAATTGAAAACTGAATCAATAAAATTTGTGATGTTGCAATATCCATTCTTTTACACGAAACAAAAATTAATGAGCCTGATAATTATGACCACTGATTATTAAATGCAAAATTATGATAAGTAATTAGTAAGAAAAAGTCAGTTTACTTGTTAATACCCGGAGGGAACGCTTTGTAGAAAATACTGTACTACTATTATTCTCCATTTTGTGCAAAAAAACTGACACAATTGTAATCATTTATAAAAGTATTTTCTTATAATGACAATAAAAATCTTAGTAAATTAACATCTATGTGTGTCTGCAATTGTATATTGCTACAATATTTACTAAACCATGTTTTAGTACAATATTGTATTTTTATATAAATTGTCAAATAATGTAGAAGCAGATCTGGCCTTGACATATGCAGTAATCGTTACTTTTGTTACATGTTCCTTGTTTAAAACTTAAAGGTAATTGTATTAATGTCTACATTTATCACTACTACATATAGTACTGTATAGTAATAATATACAAAATACATAACACAATGACAAAAATTTAATGTCAATAACATTGTAAAGTGATTTCAATTTCATCAGTTCCAATGTTCCCATGTGATAAAATCAGGAAAAGTGAGACATTAATATTATTAATAAATATATTAATATAATAATATATTAATTCACAAAACACCAATAGCACCGTTTATGGTAATGAAATGAAGTACTGAATGATGATGATAATGAAACGGTTGAAGTGGCTGGAAGTTGGCCAAAAGCAGGGCCAGAGTTTTTTTTAATAAAGAACAGAAGTTCAGGTAAACTAAGAGTACTAGAGCATGGGATCGTAAAAGCAAATGGGCGGAGCGCTACCATTTGACTCTATGTATACAGGGTGATTCACAAATGGTGGCCAAAAATTAAACCTCGTATTCTTTGGTGAATTTATTTTAAGGGGTCTTTCCTATAAAGTTTTTATTTAGGACCTTCGTTAAAAAGATACAGGGTGTTAAACTTCAAAAAATATTTTTAAATTTTTTAAATAATTTAAAAACTAGTAAGTGAAATAATTTGAAATTGGGCACACATGTATTTATGTAAACATTGTCCAAAATTTGAGTGTTTTTCCTAAAATTTACATGCTCCAGTGGCGGAGATACGGGGTATCGGTGGCATATGCTTCTAAATAAAATAGTACGCCACTGCTTTACGGTAACAACCATGATATTTTCGGATTCGTCTTTTAATTTTCTACAAATTAATAATCTCTTATGTTTTTCGAAAAAAGACTGATTTTCGAGTAAAACTTGAAACCCAACTGAAAATACTTTTACTTAAATGACATGACTCACTAAATATTAGGTTAGGTTAGATTATTCGAATAAAGAAATTAATAATATTAGCCATCATTTTAATGATATTATTTGAGTAAATGCTCTGAAATACCTCAATTTCCACGAACACAGGAGTGACATATTATTTTTAGTAACCAAAAAGTAATTTGTTCGAAATTTATTGTTGCTTGAATCTAATGAAAAGCAGTATTTATCTTCTAACTGTTCAAAATGTCAAAGTTGTTATCGCAGCCCACTACGTAGGTAATTTTAAAAATCATTATTTTCGAATATCGAAGTGTGTTCTCAGTTCGTTTTTTAAGTTTTATTCGAAAATTAGGCTTTTTTCGAAAAACATAAGATAACAGCAATTTGTAGAAAATTGAAAGACGAATCCGAATATATCATGGTTGTTGCCATAAAGCAGTGGCGTACTATTTTATTCAGAAAAATATGCCACCGATACTCAGTATCTTCCCCACTGAAGCATGTAAAGTTTAGGAAAAGCCGTCAGATTTTGGACAATGTCATCAAAGAATACGAGGTTTCATTTTTGGTCGCTATTTGTGAATCACCCTGTATATCTTGGGCTTTGAAAGTACGAGATTAGTCTAGATGATATAGTTAAGTACATTGTAGTAAACCTGAATATGATTAGGTATACTGTATGCCTCTGAAAAATTAATATTAACATTGAAATTCAACATTCAAGACCCCGCTCATATATTAATTTTTAATGGATATAGCCTTTTCGTTCGTTTCCCATACTTTTATAACAGTTATTTAATTATTAATTCCAAAGAATTTATAGTCTAAATTATCAAAAATGATCTTAAATTAAATCTGTATTAGTACCCTACCATGGAAATATTTCAAGAAACTTGACTACAAGAAGTAAATAATAATTTGAATCGAAAGGAAAACACAGTGATATGATCTATAAGTAATTATGCATTCTTACAATAAGTACAATTTCATTACATTGTGCTATAAATTCAGATATCGTCTGCACTTGCTGGCTAAGGGGATATGCGGACATGCCACATACCTACATCAGATTTTATCTTGTAAGTGGTCTCAATTAAACACCTTTGAATTATATTATTCATTCACCAACAAACAATGCTATATATGCAGTGCAGTTTGTCGTGAACTTGCGTAACTTTTAATAGTTTCTGCCCATGTCGCTTATAATATAATCCGAATACCTAGACAAAGTGAGCCTAAAATGTGGTAAAAGTATGTTGTCATTGGAACAGTAGTAACAATTTGTATGAAAAAACTTGTATAATTGTCATTTTTTTTCTCTAATTGAGACATTCCTATCAAATGTCACCCCGGGCTTCAAACATTGGGTTTGGAATTGATTGGTAACTATTTTTTTCTCAGTCTCAGACATAAATATATAATTAACACAATTTTGTCACATGCCTGTTAATTAATTCAAATGTTACTAAACGTGGGTATTAATTGGGTCACAATAACCAAAATAGTTGATATTAATATAATAATCTGTTATTTACTTGTTTATTAGCTCCCAGTTGCAGAACATGATAAGTCTGTAAATAAAATATACAAAAATTCACAAAAGAAAAAAACAATAACTATTTAAATATTGCATATTTTATAGTTTGAGTTGAATAACAAAAAAATCGGTATTATTTCCTCTCACTGGAGATAACTTGGTGATATAACGGTGATGCTACAAGGATGTTACGTACGTGCTGTGGATAGATTTAAAATGTTATTACTCCTGTTTTAGGTAATAATTTATGCCTATGCTCATTTTCGGTTATGTTCATATAAAATTTCATTAAAATATTTCAAAATGTTGAAAAAATGTTAACGTAATTTAATCCAAATTAGTATATCTGCATTCAAGTAATCTCTTGGTTTAACTTTTATGAATAGTTTAGTTTTTTTTAATCTTCTGGAATAATTAGGATAAAGTGGATCAGTAAGGTAGACAATCTTGATCAAATTAAATATTATTTTCAGATAAAATTAAATATTTAAATATTTAAAGGTTTTTATTTTCAGTGTTAGAACAGTGCAAATATTGTGTAATTCACAAAAACAGGGCTTTGTTATAATATAATTGTTTTTTAATTGCGAAGTAAATTTTAAGATGCAATTTAAGAAAACAGTCCCCAACGATTTTCAGATTTCACTTCTGATTTTTCAAATAAAAAAAAATGAGAGCAAATAGTCAAAATATAAACTCACATTTAAATGGGTACATTTATCACATACATTTAAACGAATTGAAATATTTATATCCACAACTGAAATAATAAAATTTATTTAGCGGGTATTTTCGAATTTATTTTTAAAAGATTTACTTAACATTATATTTAGCATACCAAATTAGTAAGCATATCAGTGGCATAAAATGTAAGGTTAAGGGTGAAAGAGTAACCGCAAGGTTAGCCTATTTTGTCACCCTTGCCAGAGACCTTAAAAAAATCCTAAAAATATTCTGCATATGTGAAATTATTGGTAATGAAAAATCAAGATGAGCATATTTTGTAGTTTTTTGAAAAATGTCGAAAATCACCCCTAATTAGGGGTTGATATGATGACGCAAAACTGAAATGTATGGATAATATCAATAAGAATAAAAGCAATTCTTATTGTATATTTTCTATAAAATAAAATCGTACAAATAGGAAATAATTTATTTTCATGATTAATGAGGGCTTGATATAGTTTAAGTCCACCCTTAAATTCGCTAAGGGGCTTAAATCATCCCCTAAATACGGAAAAAATAAAAAATTACTTGAAAAATCAATTTTTCAAATATTTTTCGATTTTTTCATGTTTAGGGTATGATTTCACCCCCTATGAGGGTTGATTTTTATTAAAAAAAAATTTGGAATAATTAGGTCAAGTCAGCTTAGTTTCTGATTAGAAAAGTAAGATCTATTATAAAATATTCGACAGTTTTTTTATATCGCTATAATATTTCCGTATGTTATCACGTTCGGGGGTAGTTCACCTTCGTTACAGGGGTGATTTTCTTATAGATACTAGTGAGAAGTACACGATTTGAATTTCTAATAATTTAGAATATCCTAGTACTTTTCCTAGATTTTTCAAGTAATTTTTGATTTTTTCCGTATTTAGGGGATGATTTAATCCCCTTAGCGAATTTAAGGGAGGACTATATCACGCCCTCATTAATCATGAAAATAAATTATTTCCTATTTATAAGATTTTATTTTATAGAAAAAATACAATAAGAATTGCTTTTATTCTTATTGATATTATTCATATATTTCAGTTTTGCGTCATCATATCAACCCCTAATTAGGGGTGATATTCGACATTTTTCGAAAAACTAAAAAATATGCTCATCTTGATTTTTCATTACCAATAATTTGACATATGCAGAATATTTTTAGGATTTTTTTTAAGATCTCTGGCAAGGGTGAGAAAATAGGCTAAAAATATGCTGTTTCTGCGGTCACTCTTTCAAAGCTACAACTTTTTATTATCGTTAAAGTTATAAATAATAATTATACATTATTGAAAACTAAAAATGTTCAACTTAAGAGATGTTAGTATTTGAGGTTTCAAAAGGAGGCGATTTTATATTTAAAAATATATAATATTTAATAAAATTGTATTTGTCACAAAAACAAAAGAAATTAATAGAGTATTAATAGAGTAGACATATGGGGTATTCCATTGTGCCAAGTTATAAATATTTGAAAATTTTTTACACATAATATTCAAATGCTCATAACTTCTTGACAGATTGAAATAAATATTTGAAAAAATTCGTGAAAGATTCTCTAAATTGGTACTAAATAATAGCAAAAAAAAACAGTAAAATTAAAAATGGTCATGTCTCAGTCATTTGACATAGAATGCTCCATATATTGCAATCAAATAAAGTGTCAGTTGTTTTGTAGAAAAGAAAGATAGGTAGGTTAAAAAATGCTATTGCTTTTTGTTCATCATTATATGTTACATTTGAATATAGCCAAATGTCATACCATAGGTAAAGTTTTCGCCGTAGATATTTAAAATCTTTAGTCCCTGTAGAGAAGACGCTCCTATAGGAATGGCGCCCTTGAACTTTATAAATCGTGACCCAGACACAATCTTTTATTTCCTGTATATCACAAAATATCTGTTCTGCATTATTTTGTTAAATAAATGAATATTATCTTATACTTTGAATCAGCCAACATAATAAAATCTCTTACTCTCCCCATAACAATTTATTTTTGTTTAGTATTTACCAAATTCGTTGACAGAAATTGGAGATTCCAAAATCGTCCAAAGCACTTAAATCTGCACGTCAACCAACACACCTATGCCGCATATTAACTAACGGTTGCGTCGACATCACATAGGCGCATAGTTTACATATTTCTGGTTCCAATCGAGTGCACAAGAGGCGTCAAAAACCACACGGCAGTTAGGAAGTAGAAAAAATTGTACGTGCACCCGTTAGAAAATACCCTGTGCGGACCTTGCTATTGTCGCAATCCACTTTCGAGTAATACGCTTTGTATACATAATAGGCCGGTGGATAGTATGACAGTGGGCCGTTTTTTTTTTCTGTAATCGTGGTGAACGTTTCTTGGTTAGGGATCAAGTATATAAGCCAGGATTATCTATCCCCTAGTCAGTATCGTACAGTACAGTGCTCAATATCACATCCAAATATGTTTGCCAAGGTGTGTAGTGATAATTTAAGGGTTGAAAATTAATTTCAGTTTCAAAAAATTTATGAAATTTTCGACCAAAAAAATTTTACTTAACTTTCGTGTCAGTTATTGGCTCAAAAACGCATTTTTATAAATACGACGAAATTATAAAGTGGATCTTTAAAAATTTAATTATCTGTCACTGATTTACATGAATTATTTATTATTCATAAAAATAATAAGTATAATTCTACCTATAGAAATAGGATAATAGACGTTTTTTTTAAATAATATAATCTGAAGAAGTATTAAAATTATTCATATCATGATATTCTTTGCTTGTGATGTGTCTAAATAATTACTCAGAAAACAAAAATTCATTTATCTGCATAACATTTTTCATTATCTTAATTTAATATGAATCCATGCTCAAGCAGAAATGTAGAAATAAAATTGTATAAAGAATAGTTTACTGGAATATGGCATATACAGAATGTGGTAAGAGTATTTTAATGCTTATCTAGTTTACATGTGTCTAAAAAATTATTTAAAAGGACAAAAACTTAAAAACTGCATAAAATTTACTGGATATTAATAATAATATTTCGGAATTTAGGATACGAAAATTAATTATATTAGGTCTTCATTCCGTTTTTCATAAGTGTAAAATAAAATTAAAAATTTGAACAAAGTTGGTGTTATTTTCTAAATCTTTTAAATATTTACAGTTACAGATTTGTAGGGACAAAGCAATGCTTTGTGTCAGCAGGCAATGAGTAGCACTAACATGCAAGATATGACATACTTTGTAGATTATTATAAAATTCTGAAGAATGTGTTATTGTATATACAGAGGGTTCAAAAATAATTAGCAGAACATTTAAATCGTGATTCTACTCATAATAGTAATAGTGCCAGTTCCTATGATCTTTTTCAAAATATTAATATAACCTCAAAGCCATTTTTTAAATATTTTTTTTTTCACCACTTTTATTTCCATTAGACGATTGGTTTCAAATCTGGCAGACTTAATTGGTAACAAACTGCATCTCGTCAATAATATAAAGGCTTAAATTGGCTTAAATGACGATTTAAAAAAAACGACAATTTAAATTGAAAGCATTAAAATATATTTTACAGAAAGGCCCTCTTGTTCTTGATATGAAGATCCTTTAAAACGGATACAATTTACGTTTAACTGTTTAAATGAGGCTAGATTTAAACACAAAATAGTGAAAATAATAAGGATCAATTAAGCCTTTTTGGGCTTTAGAATTTTTATAAATTTTTTTTTAAGCTAATTAAGAAAAGTTACTTTGAGTGTCAGCTGCTTTAATATTGTGTTTTGAAAAAAGTGTTAGAGGAACTTATTATTTTGACGAGTAGAATCAATCACTATTTTTTATCTCATGAATTTCAAAAACAACCCCTATCTCAAGAACCTACAAAATGATTTGAATGGAAATTGTCGAGAGGTTTCTTAAATAGTAAAATGTTTGATCATTTCATTGACTTTAGTTAGTCTAATGTGCAAAACCGATTTTATGTAAAATAATACGGTACTGATTTTTTCCGAAAAAAATAATAATAAATGTGAATGGTACTATCAAAAACTTATAAAATATTGTTAATTACTATTTTTTAGATACACATATGCTGTTTATGTGCAAATAGTACCAAATGTACCAGTAAACCTTTTAATTAAACATTTTTAAAGAAAATTAGCGAATAAATTGTTTTTTTTTATTTTCCTGATAAAACAATAATGAATTTAATAAGTAGTTCAGGAATTTTTTTTAATGCTGTACGTATTTCTTTCCGAATAACGAACCAGTGGACTAAAATATAAATGATTTAGGTACGGCTCCATTCCCAAAGAAAAAAAAAAAACAAAATGACGTAAAAATAGAATCTAGAAATTTTGGACAATTCCGGCAAAATTTTATTGCTTTTTCTGGAATATTCAGTGGCGTACCCTTTCCACATAAATAAGGGCCTCTTAATTTGGCGGCACACAGCTGACTAAAGTGATGGAAATAAAATTCTACAAACTAAAAGACTTTTCTTGATTTATAAGTTGAACCAAATTTCATTCAGATCCGTTTATAGGTTGCGAGACATAACGTCGTATCTCTTGAAAAAATAATCTACCGAGATAAAAATTAAATAGAACGAAGTGCACTTATCTTCAGTACGAAATCAATTTCAGCATTTAAAGTGACATCAAGCAGTAATGTATATTAAGGTTATGTTATGTTTTCAGATTGTCGCCCTGTCCGCCATTGTAGCCTGTACTCATGCAGGAGTCATTGGAGGAGGACATGCTGTTGCTCCCATAGCCGTTGCAGCTGCTCCAGTAGCAGTTGCTCAGCATACTGTAGATTATTTTGTAAGTAAACCAAAATCAAAGATTGATTGAATTTCACCTGTTGATAGAACTCAAAATATGAAAAAAATAAAAATGTCTACTCGGTATTTTTTTGATTTTTAATGATTACTTAGTATATAAAATTGTTTTAGAAGATCTCCTTTAAATTTATGTAATAAATTTGCTCTATATTTAAAAAAACAGGAACTCCATAATTGGTCGTTTCACAAATAAAGTAAAAAATACCTACTTTTCTTAGAAACTACTATAAAAATTTAATACTTTATCGAATTTATGAAAAAGTCAATAGCGCCTAGAATTCTTCTAACTGAATTAATCTCATTTTCATCTGTCAACATATGACACACATATGAAATATTCAGAAATGTTTGAATAATATTGTTATATATATTTTTTTAAACTGGAACATCATGTATCTAAATAAGTTTTTCCCGAATCTTATCTATGATAATTTTATTATTGAAGTGTTCTATCTTCATATTTTAGAAATTTTGTAATTTAATTTTAAATGGTTATTATCGATCAGAAATACAGTTTTCGATTACTAAAATAATTTCTTATAACTCCCCTAGTAGAATTATGTAAAAAAAATCGTTAAATCGTAAAATTTATGGCAGTGGATTATTTTTTTAATTCAAACAAATGCTTAAAATAAATAGTTGCAATATAAGCATTTAATTATTAAATAAAATTCATTAAAGCGAATACAAATCTGATAAGTAGAAGAAGTTATTGAATTCCTTGTACGCTAGCCTCTATTATTTAAAACCGCTGATTGATAAGATAATAATAGGCGTTAAACCTTGTCTATTATTCACGTTCAAGTTCAAGTTTTATATTAACAAATACACAAAGCTTCTGACTACAGTTGTTTTTTTATAATTGTTCCGTATGTAACGCTTTACTAAATTTATAGTTATTCTCCGGTTCAATAATTTGGAGTAGATTTTTAATTTCCCACGTTTCATAGTATATCAGTCAGTCACGAAATGAACACATAAGAAATGAAGAACAAACAATACAAAGTGTAAAAGAACTTAAGGCCCATTTTGTGAAAAAATAGATATTTAAGTGAAGCAATTGAAAATAGGTTTACAAATCCAGAACACAAAGAGTAGGCGTTGAAACTGAGATTAAAGTGGAATAAAATTCTTTGCTAAATAATGTGAATAAGAGTATAAACATTGCTAATGAGCACGAAGTTTATTTTGAAAACAAGAAACTAAAGAATCAAATCTGGAAAAAATAATAACGAATGATTAACAGTGTGTTCTGTGGATTTTTTCAAACGTGCTACTTCTATTTCTTTGCAGAATATTACTTCCTTTGTACTTAAAATAAGTCTGTTCAAACATTTTACCAATATAGGCTCGTCTACAAACCCACAGGGGTCTGAATTATCTTGGGGCACTGCTAGTTACGTTTTTAAGACATTTATGGAAAGCATGAGGCCTAAAATGGTGGCAACATGGACATGGACATGCAAGTCAATAAATTCATAAAAGAAGTTAATGGATCTACTGAAGCAAAGTCTTACATAATATGTAGTGGACGTTGAAGCGACAAGAAATATCTGAGTAATATTGGTCTGGAAGAAACAGTGCGATTGTGAAGGCCTAGCTGAATTATTTATAATTCAGAAGCTATATGAAGGACTCAGTGTCACAGCTGTGAAGACTAATTAGAAAACTGAAGTTGGATGAGAAAAAGGAACAAACACTAAGGCCCGGTACTTCGAGTCTCGATTAAGGCTCGATTAACTAATCAGGCGATTAGACTATGAATTATTATTTTTATTATAAAATAAATCAGTATCTGTACAGTCTAATCATGTTATTAGTTAATCAAGGCTTAACCAAGACTCAAAGTGCCGGGCCTAAGACTATAAAAGTCCACAATAAACTTAAGGATTGACGCAGTGAAGAAGAATAACGTATCCTTTTCATTTCTACGATCTACAATTACGAATATTTTGAGTGGGACACATTTTATTGTCCACTACTGTACATATATTTCTTTAAGTTTTCACTTTCAACACTGCATTTGATCAAAGTGAAAACAAACTAACAAACTTGAAGAATACAGGAATATTTTACAATTTATTGAACTGTTATTTAGATGAGGAACGCCTCGTGCATGTTTTATTAATTACAAATCCATATCATGCAGGAATGTGTTCGACTAAATTATGTAACTTCAGGTTCAGCATTGTACAATCACATATTCTAGCCTTCATATCATTAAAGTGTTTTATAAATCATAACAACCATTAAATTTACAGCTTTAAAATCCAATTTCCGATCTAGTTTTGCATATGTTCAAACACGCTCAATACAAGGAAACGGGGAAGATTGCAATCAGGCACTACAATTACATGTTTCAGATCGTGTTAGGAATGAAATTTATTTAAGTGTAGTGAGTTACGTAAATTTCACCCAGATGTGTAATTTTGTAGAAAATGGATTACTTAGTATTTTTTTGCAGCAGTTTTGCAACACATTCATTTTGAAGGAAGTCTAAAACTTAACTACTTAATCAAGTTTATTCATTTCAAGAAAATTGCTTCTCGGTTCTCAGATCTGTTTTCAAATTCGTTACTAAGTAGAACATAAATTGTTATATTATTCTTATCGATTATGTTATAATTTACGAATAAAATTTTCTATTATTAGCTGCGAAGTGACCTTAAGGTAACAAATTATAATGAGGTTGCTGCCACTACTATAATTTTTATTATTTATCTTACACAATTAAATTTTCGCAATTCAAAATTAGGTAGTTCCTTACATACTTGACCTAGATTATTAATTATGAATCAATTAAATAAAAATACTTTTAAACTATGTAGGTAGACCATTTTTCAGTATGTTGCTTATAAGATACAGTTATGCCGGGTGTTTTTAAATGGAAAATAAATATTCTAAAAGATAGTAAAACAAACGCAAATTCACTATATGAATTAGGGTTTAGAATTTTTAATTAAAGGAGACAGTGTCTTAAAGAGAGAGATGAAAAGAAATTGCTGGGTTATGCACATATCATTTCACTTTTTTATTATTCCTTTAATTTTGAAAGCTCGATACCTTCTAAAATGTTTGCATAAGCTGAAGGTTATATTAATTGAAACTCTATCATCAGTAAGTATAAAGAATAATCAGTACAAACTAGTATAAATATCAATTTTATGTATTCGTGTAGTGATAAAATATTACTCAATAATTAGTGTTCAATACAAACCAAAGACATCAGAAATAGAGATAAAAAAATATATCTTTTCGTTTTCGAAGCGAAATTAGCCTTAATAGTTGAAAATGGTTCGTTTATTTTCTTCCATAGCTAGAGATATGATATTTTGTCTATTCTATTATCACTTACTTCTTTTAGTACTTGTGGCCAATGACAATCTAAGTTCATATAAAAAATTTTTAACACATCTTTCATAGTTTTGGACTTATTGAAGTGCACGATAAACAGTGATGTATATTTTTATCTGCATCTGCATCTTTCAGTGGGATTTTTGGTTACGCAAAACTATTTTCATAAATATTCAATTATTCATTTCTTGTTATAGACAGCTTTGTTGTCGGATCTGTGGTCAACACGGTATGTTGTTATTTCCTTCAAATTTTAATTAAGAGGAAAAGTTTTAAACATTTAGAGCTGAACAACCTGCATATAAGTAACAACTCCATTTATTCTCGTCAAAATTTACATTAAAATTTTTAAGAATTTGTTTTCTCTAAAAACCGACCATTATTATTATTTGATCACAATGAAACTTAAACAGTAAACTTAAGAGAGAGTTATTCATGTTTTCCTTATTATTTATTTTAAATGTAACAATTCCATAAAAATTGGCACTCTTAATAATTTTCGGAAAACTGTAGCTTTGAAATTGTAACGAAATACCTGCATTTTGTGTCGCTGATGCGTCCATCTTAACACCAATTATAAAATTCAATGCAGGGAATAAAATATTTTCACAATTCCATCTATTCCAGGCATACCCTAGATACCAGTTCAACTATGGAGTAGCAGATGCCCACACGGGTGACCATAAATCCCAGTCCGAAGCTCGCGATGGAGACGTCGTCAGAGGAGCCTACCAAGTAGCAGAACCCGATGGCACCCTCCGCACTGTCCACTACACCGCTGATGACCACAACGGCTTCAACGCTGTTGTCACCAGAAGCGGCCACGCTGTTCACCCTCAAGTCGTTTCCGCCCCCGTAGCAGTAGCCGCCGCCCCATTAGCTCTTGCTGCTCCAGTAGCATATGGACACGGCGGACTATCACATTAAAGATCCTTGTTAATTAGACTGTTGCTCATCTGTGTATATATACCTCATATTCTCGTGTATTGTATAGTGCAATCTTCCTAGCCTTTTATTCTTTCTTATAAAATGCCATATTTATTTTTATACTTGTAATAAATTTTTTCTTTTCTTCGATATGTGATTTTAATGTGACCCTGATACCAGTTTTGGTACTATTATAAACATCAACTTAAATAGAGAATGCACCAAGATGACATTCATAAAATTTGTTTCCATTTTGTTTGTGGTCTGATCGAAATTGGCCAAATAGGTTAATTTTCGAATAATATTTTGATTAAATTTGATATAATTAATAGAGTCATCATAATCGTTTTGACTTCTCAACAAACGAGGGTTTAGTTCTGCAAGAGAAAAAATTATGCAACAGCAAAAAAACTGTACCAGCTAAAACATATTTGAAATAATAACTAATAATGATCTTAATGCTTGTAAGAATCCTTCGGTTTCCGGAGGGAGGGTTATAATGTTCTTCTAGGCACACAGTATGTGTTCTATGATTCCTTCATTCTCTGGGAACAAACGGCAGCATCTTCGACCAGGCCTAGCCTACGTAACCAATACCTACTAAATTGATTAACGAAGATTCGCAAGTAAACCCATATAACTCCAATATATCTTTAGATGTCTCTTCCGGTGATGGAACTGTTATAATCGCCTTCGAATGAGCTAACCTTTCTATTGGTTTAAGAGCTAAGGCAGTACCTTTTTGTCTAAAGAAGGTTTGTTTTGGTTCTGTCAGTGGACTGTCCTAGAACAGTTCAGAATAGTTACCCAACTGTCTTGGCTTAGATGTTCTTATAAATGGAATGGTCAACTAATTGAACCATCCTAAAACCATTATCTGGAACGAAAACACGCCTTTTGTCTACTATATTGTTTCTTTCTGGATCTGAAGAGCTAGTTATCTAGGCCAGAGTTAATATGCTGCTATTTCCCAACTGATGGTCGTTGAGTTACACCAATAAAATCCAAAAACTTTGGGAGCTGTTGGGATATCCATAAAGATCTGTATTGACTTTCGGTTCCAAAATCCTCTAGAGTTTTAAAGTCATCTTTATATCAGTAGCTATCTGCCCTTAAGACGTCGGTTTTCTTCACATCCCATTTACCTCTCAGAATGGAGAACACTGAAAAGCTGTTCGTAATTACTTTCCATATGCATAAAATCTGGAACCATATGGAGAGGATTTTGGCTTTAGATATCCTTTAGTAATTTGATGTATCTTGTGTCAGTTTTCAACACATTAGGAGGATGCTTTAATCTTTACACTGCTCATCTGTCTTCTGTTTCGAATAATACATGAAGAAGTGGCAAGTCCTGGAGGGTTTCTGAGCAGCTGACCTAGTGGAGCTGATTAATCCAGTTATGGTCAGACAGCCTCTCCTCAAATTAATATACCTTTTTAGGCTAACTTACGCTGTGATGGTGCAGTAAATCTAATGTATGTCTGTAAAACGGATAGTTGGAATTTCTGAACCTCCGACCTATATTAGCCAAATGGGGAACTTAGTTATAAGCTTGTTTTGATACAATAGTAATGTTCGTGCTGTTAAATCTGTAATTTTTAAATGCGATCCAAATGAATCTAGTGCTATTGTCAGAGCCACCATACTCTAGGTGAATATTTTTTGGAAAAAGAATCTGGGCAGGCAGAAAAAAGAGATCAGTCAGTGTCAAATAAATAAGTTTTTCGTTTGCATTTTACTTTTGAAAAAGATTCTAATACACCTAAAGAATAAAGATTTATTCAAGATTTTGCGACTTTATTTGGAAAAAAACGAACCGTATGCTTAGGGTAAAACGGGTAGTTTTGTCACGAAGCAATTGACAGCTATCAAAGAAGGTCAATAGATATGTGGAAAAAAGATAGTCCAGCATCATTAAAATAGTGATTAACGTAAAATGGAGGTTTAAAATTTTACAAAGATTTCTGGTGTTGAACTACAAACAAAAATATAACTTACTACAAAAAATCCAAAATTTGCACAACTATTTTAAGTATTAAATCTCCAGATGAGTACGTTTCTTTTAAAAATAGCACTTTTCATTGAAAAATATATGCTATTTTAATGATTAAATATATGCTAAGGTCCGTCTTCCACATGTTCAGAAAAACTCAGATTCTTTCAGACCAATGACTGTGGATTGTCAACGAATAAAAAGAGAACCTAAAAAAACGAAATAGAATATACTATACTAATCAAATTGTCAATTTACATTAGGAGAGGCTTTTACAGCACTATTACTATTCTGGATATACAAGATGTATAGATATTAAACTACAATTAATGTGCTTAATATAATAATAATAATAACTATATCAACAAAAAAGAAATCCAAATATTTTATTTGTTAAGCTCTCTTTCGAGTGGCTTTCAAAATAATATTTTCTTACATTCCCTATTGCTTGTATTATCGTTATGATATATACGATATTCTCATCGTATTGAGACAAAAGGGACTTGCCATTTAAAGCATATAGTGACACCTAATTGCTTAAACGTGATATAAACATTTTTATGTAACACTCTTAAATTAAGAAATTGAAATAACTTGCGTAACGGAAAAGTATTGTCATATAGGTATATGACAATACTTATATACAGAGTGATTCAGAACTTATCCAAAAAAATTCTGGATGTATAGGGGACTCTTACTAATATAATCTTGTAAAGATTTAAAAATATACTTCTGCACGGCACTGGAAACTGGTCCACTGTAAAACCTGACCTGGCACAATCCGACGACGGCAGTGATAAAAACGGACAAAAACTTTCAAAGAATTTCGTAAGGAAAGGAATAAATAGAATTTTGTAGCACCTATTTTAATCAGCAAATTCAGCTGATTTTGCCGCTATTGTTATTATTAATTAATAAAATTAATTTGTGGTTTTAAATTTTATCCACCGCCGCGACGTGTAAACACATTTGGGTCCGTCTTGCTCAGTTTCTACGAACTAACACAAATGCTGTCTTATTTCACCATAACACAAATGCTTCACCATAAATGTTTTCTTGCTTCACCATAAATTAAAACTATATCCATCAACGCCGAGTTGCTATACACGAATTTTTGACACTAACTACTGAAAAACTATTGTAAACACTATGGCAACGACGACTATAAAATCGGATTTCAGTATTCGGAGTCGCTNACCCGGGGGGGCCCGGAGGGCCCCCCCACGTTCGCCACGTCGCTTAGGGGTATTCCGGTGGAGCTCCTTCCGCTCCAAACTACCTAAAATCCGGTTCTCCCGGAACCGTACGGGGGGCGTGGCCCAATTTTTGTGTGAACCGCAATAGTCCGACACGCCTACTTTCCGATGAAACCTGACGATCGCCTGGCCGGTTTCCTCTATTTAGTTTTTATTTTACCCATATTACCTACGTTATTTATTTAAAGCCGCGCGGAAAATACTCATATTTGTCGACCGGATGCCTTTTCCAAACCTTTTATGTAGAACTTTCCGCGAAATCACGCGCGGGATTCGAAATGCGGCCGTAAATACGTTAAAATGCGCCCGCTCGCCGGCTGGAAAACGTATACTTTGCCACACAGGATTCTTTTTCCGCAAACCGCAGAACGGCGTGCGACTGAGCACGAGATGTCCATTCGATCATCTTTAATCGTTCGGGGGCATTTTTGTAACGTTCCTTTCGCTTTTTCATATTTAATTTTGCCTTCTTTTTGGGGTCCGCTCGACGACAGACAAGCCGTAAAGATTAAAGCTTTAAGACACGCCTACCCGGAGAATGAATTCGAATGTCGTTAGAAACGTCAGTTTGATATACGTCAAAATAATAAATTTCATAATGATATATCTCTACTGTTTTGATCACTCACAATCGACCCAATTGTCCCCATTCCCCATCTGTCAATCCTGTCCTTTTTTCATCTATTAAGTCGAATAAACCTTTACATTGAGAAAAGCAACATCTCCAAGTTTGCGTCGAATCGTCCCCATTCCCCATCTGTCAATCCTGTCCTGTCATCTGGCAAGTCGAATAAACCATTACATTGAGAAAAACAATATGTCCAAGTTTGGTTTGCCGATTTGCCTAATACCATTGTATAATTTGTATAAGTAAATACTGAAGCTAACGCGTGCCGGTTTACATTGTAATAATGTCGGTGAGTTTTTTGTAGATTTTTTTTACTCAGGAGTTTCAATGTGGTTACGTCATGATTTACGTACGTTTTCTGACCTGGGTCTTTCAGCAGATTAAAGAGGTAAATAGGTACATTCTTTTAACCTGAGGCATCGACAGAAACAACAAGTTTAAGTTTTCCACTGACAACTATAATTTACACAACCACAACTATTAAGCCAAGAATTTTGACTTTCCGCCCCGTTGCAGCAGGTATACAAGATCTCAGTACTTTCCTAAACGTTACGATCTTGCCAGGAATTTTTGGACAACTGGACTGCCTCTGATTTTTGATTACTGATAAAAAGATAATAGGTGCAATGAAAAAAACATATGGGAAAGTGTTACATTAACACAAAGTTCTATTCTCGAAGATTTTGTTCGCTTTCTCCTTAGGCCACAATTTTTTAGTTACTGACTATGTAAGTAAATCTGTTTTTTCAATGCTTTCATTTTTGCAATAAAGATTATATTTCACCAATTAATTTTTTTATTTACTTTTACAGAGAGAACATTTTTTTATGTAGTATTTTCAGAAACATTTTAAAAATCTAAACATTTTTGAACGTTAAATATTTTATATATTTAAAACCAAGTAAAAAACTCATGGGACTATATAAAAATCAACAGATACATGTCCCAAGTCTCATGGAATTTACAAAACAGGTAGGTACTGACATNTAAAATAAAATAAAATCCTATTAGATTAGGTAATGAAAAAGTAATTAATGTGTGAAAAGTAAATATTTCTTGGATTTTTTCTGAAAGCTATTTACAGGCTTAGATTTAAAAGTCATTTAAGTAGTTAAAAGTATACAAAGTGTCCTGGTAATTGATACAAAAAAGTCGAGTACAAGAGATGAGGTCAAAATAATATCAGTTCTTCATATACATTTTTTTCATACGGGCCTTCGTTAACAAGTTACGGGCCCTTAAAGGTGAAAATTTAAAAGTAATTTTTATTTAGTCTCTAAACTATTAACTTCAGCATGATGCAAATTTGGTAATCGATAACACATACATACAGCTTGTTTTTGATGTTGTAAGGGAAAGTTCATTATGCCCAGAACGCCAGGGACAGACTATGCCCAATGGTTAACAACCCTGAAGTTTTGCATAGATGATGATCGCAATCTGTCTGCATAAAAAATAAGTTCCCTAAAGAATTTTCCAACGATAATACCCCTTGCTTCAACTTGGTAAAATTAACAGTTTAGGAAATATTTGTGATTTTATGTCACAGTGCACATCGAGCGGTGCCTCCACCATTTTTTGTTTTTAATATTTAATTGGACATAATTACTATGTACATATCTTTAAAATAAGAGCCTAGAAAATCTTACTGTCTGCTAAAGTAATTTTCATTAACAAAATTTGACAACACACTTGACACTGTGCAAAACCGTACTTATCTTATCAACTTCGACGTCACCTGTTGGTGATGGGTGTTGTATAATAATGAAAAAGTAATATTAACGGTTGGTAGAAAGAAGCACAAAAAACAAACGCCCAGGTAGGGAATTCTGGAAGGAAGCGTAGTTAGTTGAAGATAGGCAGTGGAAGTGCGAACAGCGCGGGATGAAAAGTAAAACGATCCGTGTAGTGCGAAAAATATAGAAGTAGTGTAAAATTAAGTGGTTAACCAGTATTAGTTAGCAGGTAATATTCTCTAAGTACTTTGTTGTTAATTGTTCTATTAAATCCTATGATTGAGGTGTTTATAGATGTTTCATGATAATAATTCTTTGTGTATGTTTAGCCTTCATTGTTTTATGCTCAGGGGCGTATATTTTCCTAACGTAAAATTGNTGAAAAAAACTTATGGGAAAATGTTACATTAACACAAAGTTCTATTCTCAAAGATTTTGTTCGCATTCTCCTTAGGGCACAATTTTTTAGTAACTGAATGTGTAAGTAAATCTTTTTATTTAATGCTTTCATTTTTCCAATAAAGATTATATTTCACCAATTAATTTTTTTATTTACATTTACACAGAGAACATTTTTTTTATGTAGTATTTTCAGTAACATTTTAGAAATCCAAACATTTCTGAACGTTAAATATTTTATATATTTAACAACAAATAAAAAACTCATGGGACTACATAAAAATCAACAGGTACATGTCCCAAGTCTCATGGAATTTACAAAACAGGTAGGTACTGACATTCAAAATAACTATGTATGGATTTCATATTCTTCCATGAAAAATGTTTGTCATTGAGTAGGGTATACAAAACTTTATTAAATTAATACCTAAGTATATGGATTTTACAAGTCTGTGGCAAAGATATCTATATTTATTATTGCCAATTTTATTTAATATTTCAATAGGTATGTACCTATATTTTTAAATATAAGAATTTCTTCTACTCATACTAATTTAAAACAATATTTTGTAATTAAAACGTCTCATACATTTTTTTTACACTTCGACTAAATGTTCGAATTCTTTATATAATTTTTCATATTTTATTAGAATCATTTTAATATATATTGATTTCAAGATATTTTTCTTCGACTAAAAAAATTTAAATATATGTAGAATAATTCTAACATTATAAAAAAATTAAAAATTTTCTGAAAATGCCTTCGTTGTCAAATGCTGTGATAATATATTTAAGGAATTACCTACTTTACAAGCAGTTAATTTTAAAGAGAGTTTATTATATAAACATACAGAATATACCTATTTAACTAACATAATACCTACATTTAATTTTAATTTATATTATTTTCGAGGTTGTTTCTTTGTCCAAATTTTATATACCAGAATACCTTCCCCGAGAAAAATACACTAAAATGCCTCCGAATTTTTCATTCTTTTTACGCTCACCCCATAAAAACAGATAACTCGGCAAGCTATTTCTTCCTTAGTAAACCCAACCATACAACATATTTTGATTTGTACCTCAGAATTCGAGAAAATGGCTTGAAATTTCTGCAACATGTCCCACCAAAATGCCTGGGCGAAACACCCCTCGGTTATTTTTAAACGTCCTCTAAAATCATAACTTTTACAAGGCCTTTAAATTTGGAAGGAAAATTACAAAATAGACCCTATATATACTCTTGAATAATTATTTCATTTATTGTAATTTACCATTGTTACACATAATCATTATACATTACTTCTCTCCGCCTGTTTTTAGTGTTTTTACAGTCTACAGTCTACTGTCAAAAATCGATATCAAGTGCATTCCTGAAATATTATTTTTAAAGTGATTTTTAACTTCATTGTATAAGTATATATTTTCTATTTTTTTTATATTTTTCTATTAAAAAATATTAATATGCATAAACGTTGTTTTACAGTATTTTTTTCCAAATTTAATGTTTGAATTGACTGTACAGTCCTGCCATCTATACGCTATGCGTCTAATTGTCTAACAAAATGCCAATCAACGAATTATGTATAGTAATATAACCTCCATATCAAGTGGTCGATTTATCATTATCGATCAATAATTGAATAACCCACGCCAATTTTTGTGCGTCTGATTCAATAATTGCAAGCATAGAACTACTTACAGATTTTTATTACAATCCGTTTTTTTCAAAACGCTTATTTTTCTGTAAATACAGTTTAGTAGGCAAGTACCATTCCTTATCAGTATAATTTGATATAATTCATATATTACTATTACTATTGATTAGATCACAATGACCAAAAAGGGGAAAAAACGATTGACCCAACGGAAGGGGGTCCGTATAAGTGGCCAGCAAACAAAGAGATCTGTCTCCGAGGAGATGACTGAAGAAGATACGAATAGCAATATTTCTCTAGAATTGCCTCCTTCTGTCACTGTTTCTTCTGCGGAAGCAGCTATAATGCTTCCTGGAGATATGCCTCAACTGGTTGAAGTACAGCATACAGTTCAACCAGTCGCTGCCGTACAGGAAGACTCCTTATTAAATAGGGTGCCAGTTGGTCCTTCTACAGAGGACTTAGCAGAAGCTGGGCCTTCCACTTTACTAGGTAATTATCACAATTTCATTTTTGAACTTATCTAATTTTTCTTTTGCTGCACCTACTTTCTTAGGTAATTATTACAAGTCTATTTTTGAATTTAATTAATTTTATTTTTCATATACGTATATGGTTACAAGTTAGTATATCATAAAGAACCATATCTACTTTCTATAATAAGTACACAAAATATTATTTTTTTAAAGAAATGCTTATTACTATTTCAGAACAGTTCAATTGATTTCCAAATTTTTCCCAACACAAATATTTACTCTCATAACTTCATAAAGAATAACCAATTTTTATTCACCACTACAATTAGCTCCAAAATATAAAAATACCTATTTTCAGTTTCACTATTTGCCTTTTACTTTGAAATCAATACTAAAATCCGCCGCTCGGTATAATATAAAGCATTATACATTGAAAATATATATNGAAGACTGCTGTATAATAAAGTTAGGTGTATTTACTCTGCTTTTGTTTTATAAAATTAAACCATACATCCCCTCTACAAAGTTAGTAGCCAGTGCCTTCCGGTCAATAAAAAAATAAATACACCCAACGTAGGTATTCCTATATGACGATCACATATTTTTGGCCACAACTACGTTTACTTATTTTTTTCAATCGAACTTAGGGTTGTTATACTACAACACATAACACAAAATAGAAAAAAAAACAAGAATAAGTTAAAGTAAGTATTCAACTCCAAATATCGATGTCCATTCAGACGCTTATCAAAAACGTACAGACCTATTAAATTATTACCCACTATTAATGTATGACGAATAGTAAATTTAATAGGTCCATACGTTTTTGAGGAACGTCTGAATGAATATCGATATTTGGAGTTTTTGCAAAATAATTTGCAGCCACTGTCAGACGATGTTCCATTAGACACCCAAAGAAACGTTTGTTTTATGCACGATGGGGCTCCTCCTCATTTTAATATGTACGAAGTTATTTATCCATTGTGTTTAATAATAAATGTATTGGGAGAGGAGGTCCAACTTCAGGGCTACCACATTCTCTAGACTTTAACCCGATAGACTTCTTCCTGTAGGGATATCTGAAAAGTTTGGTATACTTAACCCCAGTACAGCCAAGGGATGAATTGCTACAAAGAATTAATTTCCATTGTAATAATAATAGACATACTCCAGAAATGCTTTTTCATGTACAAACAAATAATATTCTAGATTTAGGAAGTATGTGGAGTTTATTTTTAATTATTTTTTGAACTTTAACTTATTTTTGTTTTTTTTTTCTATTTTTTGTTATGTGTAAAGTGTGTGTGTCAAATTTTGTTAGTGAAAATTACTTTAGCAGATAGTAAGATCTTCTGGGCAGTTATTTTAAAAATATGTACGGTTTTAAGGTAGTAATTATGTCCAATTAAAAATTAAAAACAAAAATGGTGGAGGCGTCGCTCGTTGTGTACTGTGACATAAAATCACAAATATTTGCTAAACTGTTAATTTTACCGAGTTGAACCAAATTGATATTATCGTTTGTCACCAGGTAAAGAAAGTTTATTCCGTAAATATGGTGGTAAATTGTTTCGGAGTATTTTTTCACAAAAATAGCCATATCATATTTATACAAATTGCGCTGATCTTAAGTCAACCGAGTTTGTTATATCTTTGAGGAACATGATCATATTTTTTCATATCCTAAACAAATCTACAACAGGCATTCAAAACTTTTTGTAATCGATTTTGGGTAAATTTGTCGAAACAAGAAAACTAAATAATTATAAAACAGTAATTAACAACAGGTACAGATTTGTCAAGTTATATACTTATTTAGTTTTAAATAATAAGATAGTGTAATATTTTTTACAGATCAAGTAAAAATTACTTACATAATACTTATTATGTTGTTACTTAATCCACTAAATTCAAAGTTAATTCTAAACCAACAACTTCTAGTTACTAATTCCACACGTCCAGCAAGTAAGAAACAAAACAGTGAACAATGAATTTTATTCAAAATCTCTTAAACAGTACAGTATAGTAAGTTACAGTGCCACTAAAATTTTAAGTAATAGTAAAAACAAGGTACACATGTTTTTGCTTAAAAAATATTTTCTAAATATAATCTTTATTATTAGCAGTAATTATGAGATGAGTTAATATCACAACTTTTTCTTCGAACGCTTTCAGTTATTTCATAATGATAAGAAATCGATGAGGCGTTCATGAATTCCATTATCACTGAACCGGTTAAAGCATATAAAAGAAAAAATAGTGCAGTATGTACTCAGTTCACTATACGGATAACAAAACAACAATGTTCTTCAAGGTGCGCACAATAAACAATACATAATTTTGTAACGCCTAGAGCGGTGGCTCATAATTTAAATTTTTTTGTTTGTCATGTGTCAGTTTGTGATATGTTATAGATAGTGTATACTAACAATTATTTTGTAACCAACACTATGGCGCTATGTTTGCTTTGTCTAAATTAATTTATTAATTAAATTTTTCTTTCGCAGGTTTGTGCTTTGTCAGCTTTAGTAGCGGCTGTTCAAGCTATTAGCGTTATTGGTGTTGACCACGGGATCAGTGATGCGCAACATATCGACTATTATGCCCATCCTAAGTATGAATACAAATATGGAGTCAGTGATCCTCATACCGGTGATAATAAGTCCCAACAAGAGTCACGCGATGGAGATGTCGTTAAAGGTTACTACAGTGTTGCTGAACCTGACGGTACCCATCGCACTGTCCATTATACATCGGATAAACACAGTGGATTCAATGCTGTTGTGGAAAGGACTGGACACGCTGTTCATCCTCAAATTTATGGAAAGGAAACTGGTCCTGTATTCCATCATTAATTGCTAATTTAATAAAACTAATTAGTATTATTAATTTTATAATAATGAATAAATGATTTATTTTCTTATATTGTGCTGTTTTTTATTTTATGTTTGGGACATTGCATTGCATCTTATTCTCTAGGTATGTTTAACGTTTTTTGGATTTGGAAATGTTAAGTTGCTGCATCCATACTTCAGCTGGAACACTGCTGAGTTTGCTTGAGCAGGATATGTATTTACCATCTGATCAATTTTCTGTCAAAGCAAAGAATGTTCCTTCTTTTTGCTGGTCCTATAGTCGTAAATTTATTGGCAGCAGCTGTAATACATTCACACAGATCATTAATACTCTTCGCTTCAGAATGGTACACTTCATTATTTAAATATCCATAAAAAAGTCGAGAGAATGTAAGTTAGGAGACCGTGGTAGCTAGTCCTTTTCGTACAATCCATCGTAGTTCTTGAACTTCATTAAGGTAATTTCGAACGTTTTGTCGAAAATGAAAGGGCTCACCACATTCGGTGTCAAACAGCCAACACTACTTTTTCAAAAAAACCAAACAGATCAATTCAAAGAAATCATGAAACTGAAATTTTTCAATATTGAATCTGTTAGTCGGGCATCCTCTACAATCAGATAAGTATATTAATAAAATACATAAATCAATGGAAATATTTTATTTTATTTAGGTTGTAAAAAGGTTATTTACAATTTTTTTTATTTACTTCTTATTTGCTCAATAAATTAAATACATAATTGGGATTCTACCCACAACTCTTTTGGAAATGCTATATACATAGTTATAAATTAATGATTAGCATGTATAAAAGGAAATATTAGCAGCTATTTATTAGTTTACCATAATAATTTAATTAGTGTGGTCACAATAAAGGTGTATAGTATATGTACGTTAAAAAGTACTAAGTAATTAATAATAAATTAATAACCTCAGCACTGCATGCCGTGGTCGATATATTTTTTAAATATGCGATTCCCAGCCTATGATATTAATAGGTAGAGTTTATTGTTATAACAAGAACTTTTAAACACGTCAAAAATACATTTTTATAAATTTTTATAAATATTTATATGTACTCGTATAATAGCGTTTCTGCAATTGTGTTATACATATCTATAGTTATAAAAAATAGTAAATATAGTTTCACCACAGAAACACTTTATGATGGGGACGATGAACATATTGCATTCTGCTATTTATGTAAATTAAATAATTGTTTATATAGGGATCATTTTGTGTTTTACTGAAATTTGTTGAATTATTTAATCTTCTTTGACCCAAGCTTAAAATTGCAAAGGAAGTATCGAACATTTTCAATATGTATGGAAGAACGGTTTATTTTCATAATAGGAAACTACGCACAAAATATATAGGTACGTTAAACATTGGAGAATCAATCAAATATATCAATTTTCAGTTAATTCGCAAATATGTATTATTTTTCTATCACTATCACTTGCGCAATAAGAGAAAATTGACACAGTTGTGTCGAATAATTTCAGACATTCCTTCCTGAACTGACTCACATTCTTAAAATTATGTGACCTATGTACATACCTATCTACTGGTTGTGTAATATAATTAAATTAAACTATTGTTAGGCACTGTTCATTAAACAATAAATCAAAAACAATAGAATTGTAGGTTTTAAAATATTCTTATATTAAATTTTAAAATAAAATTAATTAGTATGAATGTTCTGGGACTGTGAACAATTAATTTATGTACATAATTGTGTTGTAAAAAGATAAAGATGATTGACTAAGTCTTTTATTTATATTTGTTCATTAGTTATTTTACAGAATCCAAAAATGAATATGTTATACTATATACAAGGTGTTTTTCAAGCCGTGGGGAGATGCAGACACGCGCTGCCAGTGGAAACCACAGAATTTCTATGCTATTGAGTTCTTTTTTTTAAATTAGATTTTCAAGTTATTATCTCTTCAATTTAAAATTAACTTATAGCTTGTCGAAACTCATCTTGTGCGTAGGCCCAAACGAGAATCCGCACTAGGAAAGGCAAAGACAAGAAACCTTAATAGTGGGGCAGGTACCTTCAGGATATATCGATGTTTACCGTTTGACGTGTAGACAGAGAATGAATTTCGGTGCTAGGCTGGTAACATTGCCACTGCGCATCCAAAACTCGCGGGCAAGATGAATTTGGTCAAGCTATACCATACAGTTGAATAAGTCGAAAACGACTCCAAAGTATATATCACAATAGTATAAATCGAATATAATTCCATAAATATAGGTAATCACAAAAATTTTTTAAAAGTAAAGAAAATATGATAGTCAATAGTCCAAAATAATTATTGACGTAGAATGTTTTAATCTATAAAATAAAGGGGGGACTGGGGGACACAACTCCTTAAGTAGGAGGAGCGACGCGTTTTTTAATCCAAATGGCACCCAGGCGTATTCAAATTACTATTTTCTGCGTTAAAGGCAGTTTTGTGTATGGAGTTTCCGTAAGATCTTGGCATCGATAATTTTTTCATTTACTTTTCTATAGTATACAACTATTCTCCATTTTTGTTGACCACTTGTTGGATACACTGTATTTAAAATGGGATTTTGGATAGAATTTTAGAGATATTTTAAATATATTCAACTGTGCCATGATAACCTTATAACAAAAAAAAGTAATAATGAGTAATGAAAATGACATTTTTTAAATAAAACAGATGCTCTTTTTCTTTTGACCACAATTACGAATCAAAACCTAAGGTTATCAATGACAGTGCCTTCAGATGCCTCTGCCGCTCGTTGACATATTTGTACACGAATATTTTCTTCAATTGGAAGTTAAATTAATGAATCTTGGGCTTGTGGCAACACCCTGTATCTCGGAAAGTGACTAGACCACTGATTCATTAAGACCTAGCATAAAATAATCCAAAGGATACGCTCCTGTAGTTATGATAGAACTGAGAAAATAAGTGTATTTTGCGTTGGGCATATATGTAGTAATTTACTTTGAATATCTACTTTACTGCCAAATAACTAGAACATATATAGAACTTTTTTAAATATGTTTTTCATTTAATATTCTAAAAATGGAGTAGCTGGTTTGGGTACAAATAACAATTTTTTCAAAAGTAGGAGTAACTGTGTAAGTTTGTCACATAAATAATTTATAAAACAGTGCAAGTATAGAAAATCAGTATGTCGAGCTGTCGGAACTAAATGAAAGTAAGTTGTTTTAAGTAGCCTTGTAAGAAATTCTTTTCATAACTTACAGAATGGTATAAATAAAAATTATGTTGTAAGTTACAAATTACACAAAGCATTAATAATTCCATTGAAACCTTATTAGTGAAATATGTTTATTGTTAAGATCTTACAAGGAAGGCAAAAAACTATAATATGAATTCTTATTAAAATTAAGAGTTGTTACTACAACATGAGAAAAACTAATAGTGGACGAGATATAATCAAAAAGTATGTCATATTTAATTATCTATTTGCTCAATGACTACTGGTACAAGAAATTGCTTTGTACCTATTGACAGTCAGTGATCTACAAATTTGTAGGTACCATAAAGCCATGATTTGCGTCGCATAATATCACAAATAAAAGTTAACAAATTTTATAAGCCACCAATTGAAATATTTGTGTTGCCAATGTAAGATTCTTATAGTAATTATCATCAGTCAAATTAGTAATAAACATATATTTGGAATAGGGCTGGTTGATTTAAAATAAAAAACAGGGTTTACTCTTTAACGAGTATATGCTATACTTACAGCAATCACAATAAGTGTACACTTTTTACAAAAATAAATATATAACATTTCAATAAATAAGACATTTTTATAAAACTTTCAAACTCAGTGATGTGGCAAGTACACAGGCGAAGGATGTACAGGATGTCCGGTCTTTTCTACCACAGCGTTGAAACCATTGTGGTCATCGGCAGTATAGTGAACAGTACGGAGGGTACCATCGGGTTCAGCTACTGTGTAGTATCCCTTGACAACATCTCCGTCACGTTCTTCATGTTGGGACTTGTGGTCACCAGTGTGTCCGTCTTGTACTCCATAGTTAAATGCATATTTGGGGTGAGCCTAGAAATATAGATAAAACTATTTAAAATTCAACATAACAGAAAGTTACAGGAGGAGTGAGTTTAATATGAGAACAGCTACAGGAGAACCAATAGATTTTGGAAGCAGACAATAAACTTGTGTGAGAATGACTGAAGGAAATTTTTAACAAAAAGTGAACTCAGAAATTGATGTCAACGATTTCAGTTAGGAAGACTTCATCATTTATATTGGTAGGAATGATCTTCAAAAACAGTATAGGGGCAAATAAGATAGTGTATCACCAATCACCATAATGGACCAGTGCAGCAAAATCTTCATCAAACGCCAATCAAGAAAAGAACATCTATCATTAAGCAGAATCGTACGGCGATAGGTATGGACCACAGAACGTTATGGTCTGAGTAAACACCAGAACAGAAGTGGGGTAGAATGGAAATAACTTTTCTGTCCTGTATGAATGTCAAACATTGAACTGTAGAAGAGAGATTCTTCATAGCCACTCAAAACAGGATCCACAAAAGTACAGTTTTTAGTATGGTCATAGAATAACACAAAGGACCAGGCCACTGGAATAGACGCTGGCTTGAAAATAAGTGACTTGGTACCAGACTAAGGTACTTCCAAGACATTATTGACAGTTCTCAGAAGAATACTTTGAAAGGTGGGAAGTATACTTAGGAGTTGAGTAAAAACTGCATCAATTAATAAGAGTTTAGAAAACCTTAATCACTTACATAATAATCTACATCGTGATGAACTGGTGCTACATGAGATACTACGGGAGCATGGTAACCAAGAAGTCCAGCTTGAGCTACGGTAGCAACAAGGGCAACAGCGAAGATCTGAAAATAGTTAGAAAATTGTTTAGAAATGGAGTAAAAGGGTTAAAAAATAAAAATTTATATGTTCACGCAGCTTTCAAATTCAAAACTTAAATGTTAATTAGAAAAAAAAATGCAGAGACCATTAAAAAATGTAATAATATTTAGATATTTTGCAGAATGTGTACTTATCCAAAACAACCGCTTTACGCAGAAAATTCATAATTCCTAATAATTAATTAAGCTATGAATTCATTAATTTAGTAAATAATTCAGAATATACATTTACTATTAGAGTTAATATACCGATGTTTGTATATGTCAATTATGCACAATAATGTACGCTTATAAGAGTGTACCCACCTTTACGAACATTGTGGTTAATTGAGTACCTATAAGTATGTGCTGTGTGAACAGAAAACTTGAACTAATTACGGTACCAAACGTTTTGTCTTTTATACACAATGATTTCCCAAAAGATTTAAAACCCCACTAAAATTCGTTGAATTGTCCACATTGTGAAATAAAAGAATGTGTCTAAAATTGACCCAGATTTTTACACGAACTGGTGGAGTTATACGATTTTATGAGATAAGGTAGGTATTAATATTACGTTAAGGAAACATGTCTTGAGTTCAATGGAGACTGTTAACAGCCGTGACACATAAACATTGCATTTCCTAAATTGAATAGTAATATGATTGGTCGAATTAAATGGTGTCCAATAAATAAATCAAATCAATTAGAGGAATTTGTTATTTTTATCGGACGATCTCATGTGATACGAGCTGCGCCTACACATTCAGCATAAATATACTCAATTTGAATGTTTATTTTTTGTCCTACTTAATAGACAATAATAATAAATAATTGTTCTAATTTTTTTCAATTTTATACATAGATATTTTTAGACATAGAACGTTGTAGGTCAAATAAAAGAAATGTGGCATAATGTTATGTCATATTCGAAATATTTTCATAACTGTCACTAAAATCAACCATAATTTGAAGTAATAGGCGTGACATAATTCACAATTATTATACGTTAATAGTTATTTTAGTAACATTTTTTCTTAATTTAATACCTTTTTATCATTTTGGAAGCAAAATAAAAATTTAGACGATGGTTAGTCAAAATTTGTTAATATACAGGGTATTTGTAAGTGCGACATATTTTAGGGGGTGGTAGAAGAAGTTATTTTGTGAAAAAAAGTTCATATAAACGTAGATCGAAATATGCTTCGTTTCCGGTATACAGAGTGTTTAAATGTTAATTTTTTATTTTTTTATTAATTATTTCAGAGTTTTAAAGACGTTGACTCGAAAATTGATTGCTGTATTTTGGTCAGAAATATTGACAGCAACCTACTAGATAATGTATCAATAGAAATTAAAAATACACAACTTGCAATAAAATGTTTTATTTTTTTCCTCAAAAACGGTGCATCCTACGAAAAAAATTAAAAAGGCCAATTTCATTCACAATTGATGGCAGATTTCTAAAAAAAAATACCAAAAAAGGTAAAGTCAGTGGCGTATAATTTTTTTATTAAAAAAAGTTGTGGCATTCTCGCACTAACGTCACTGGTGCAAGTAGAAATATTAGGATCACCCCAAAATAAAAACGCACATTTATCCCTTCAAAACGTTTTTCAAAATTCGAGTCAATATCTCTAAATCTGTTATAAAAATAATTAATAAAAATAAATGAAAAATTAAAATTATAACACTATTTCGGAAACGAAGCATATTTCGATCTACGTTGATATGAACTTTTTTCGCAAAATAACTTCGGCAACCACCCCCTAAAATATTTCGAACGTATTTACAAACACCCTGTATGTATAATTTAAGGATTTTTATGTCTTTATATTTGCAATTTTAAGCAATAAAGTTGAAACTAATAATAATTGATTTATATTCATTAGTCCTGAATGGTTTTTTACAATTACTAAGATTAAAAAATATACAGGGTGTTTTGAAAAGAAATAGCACATAGCAACAGCATAAAAATGACTTTAGTAAAATGTCCACCTCTTAGGAGTTACGGCCTCTCAAAGTTTCCAAAAAGATATGGAATAACGGCTGTAATATGAAAACCAAAAAATGACCTAATAGTCAAATTTTACACAAATTTTACACTAATGCATGTGCAACTTCTCAACGATTTTTCGAAAATTTCTGCCCCGTGGAGGGGGTAAAATTTGGATCTTGGATTTGAATGGATCTTTTTGGAAATTGGATAGGCAGTATCTTCTAAGAGATGAACGTTTTACTAAGATCATTGTTATGCAGAACGTGATCTTTGTAGCTGCAAATTCACGGCGATACCATTTATGCTACTTGTTTTGAAAACTCCCTGTATACATTTTTATCAACGATGATTATAATAGTTTATAAATAAAATACGAAACACTTATTAGGAAAAAATTCTAATTGAGAAATCCTGAAAACAGAAAACTTTATTGATACATTGTTTTCATATTTTAGGACATACGGATCCTCCGGATACGGATTCGGATCCTCCTAAATTGTATCATGATTTTTTCAGGACAAACAGTACATCAAGATATAGGGATACCTTTTCATTTTAACTATTCTTTGAAAATGGATAATAAGGGTGATATATTTACCCTTTTAAAAAGAGATGGTAGATATATTTTTTTACTACAAATTCTACATGTTAGATAATTTTGGATGGTTGACTATCACTTTTTATTTTTGCCTAATTCTGAGAAAATTGTTTACAAAAGACTTATTTATATATTTATTATTAAGAGCAGGATTACGAGAGCTAAAGTCGTAACACTTCTTAGATGGCGATTGGATGCCCTTTTCCTAATTTCTTGCATAAATTTGAGAACCCAATTTTCAGACGAGAATCTACTCGTCGGTAACTCTCCATTAATAAAATCTAGCCATTCGCCAGTAGATGGTACTGATTAGCATACATTAAATAATGCAAACATGTCATTATAGATGTCCTCGTACACGGCATCGGCAATGAGAAGTTTAAAAAAACGCCATACAATTTGCACAAAAAACGGGAACCGTCTTTTTATGAAGTTTGGTTATTTCATTTATGATATTGATGTGTCCTGCGTCGTTTGACATCGTAAATATTATTCTAGTTT